ATGCCACAGAACCATATTCCTCCGCTTGGTAACTAATCGATGGTTCTGAATGCGATCTCTTGATACTCCGTCTCGGTGGTTCCTCAGAAGTGTATTTTCGGGAGTCGAATAGCTCCAGGGGCTTAGCGGTCGTCTGGTTGAAGTTTTGATCAAAATCAATGCCAAAGGAATTTATAACAGCATATCTGAAAATTAAGAGAACATATTAAATTATAAAAGATGACTACAAAAACAATATATCAGCGTGATTGGCGATTACAGTCAAAGCTATGCTGCCAACATATTACTGAATAATATTAATATCGTTTTTTTTTCATAAACTTTGTATTTGGACTAAATTTGCAGTAAGAAACTGGTGTGTGATAGACTTACCTCCACGTGGTACACCCTGGGCAACGTATACTCATACGGCAAAAAAGTCTATAAACCGGCAGTTGACTTCTGACTTCTAACTACCATCACCCTACTGTATGTCATATTCCACCATTTCAGCAGATCTCGCCTTACCTTTTACTTAACATTTTTACATCTGTGAATCATTATTCTGTCCCCCCCCTTCTCGACTTTTTGTCACTTTGATGTTCCCCCTCCTCCTCTGTGAAGCCTGAAGTCAGCTAAAGGGTTAATGATAACCATCAAAATGCCTACCTTTTGAAATAAATAAATAAATAAAAGATGACTTTCTTATTTTGTTAACTCCAAGTAAAGGCAATAATCTGAACAATGTCTCCATGGCAAAAGTAAATAAAATTTAATTTTGATTTTGAATACTTTTAAAAGATCATTGCAATAATTGGGACAGTATTTTAACATTCAAAATCAATACTATTTCAGGACTCGGCCTCAAAAGAAATACAAAATAAATATCAGAGAAAGTGAAAAATTTTAAAGAAGCTAGAACTTTAGATCACGATATCTAGCTGCCTTGGAAAAATTTATTTATATCAAATGGCAGGCGTTTCGATGGTTATCATTAGCCCTTTAGTTGACTTCGGGCTTCACAGAGGGGAAGGAACATCAAAGTGAAAGAAAGTCGAGAGGGGGTGGGGAGAGAACAGAAGAGTGTTTCAAAGACGAAGGTAGAAAGGTAGTAAAGAGGTGAGGTGAGTACCGTGGAAGTAGTCGAATATGACATACAGTGGGATCATGGCAGTTTGAAGTCAGAAGTCAACTGCCGGTTTATAGACTTTTTCGCCGTATGAGTATACGTTGCCCAGGGTGCACCACGTGGAGGTAAGTCTATCCCACACCCCCACCTCGGAAAAATAGGGCATTACACAAGACTAATCACTAGTTTGAATAAATAATTGCATAATTCGGAGTTATTTTTAATGTAGAAGAGAAGGAGGCATATAAGTTAATATAATCAAGGGAAGAATATTTAATAATTTGTATGCTTTTATTATCTCCTTGACAAAAAAACNCAAATAATTGACTAAATGTTGGAAAATATATTTTCCACCATTGTACACCACACAGAGAAAGAGAAATTAATGGGAAATATGCTTCATTTTGATTGGAATGTGATTAAAATGTCATAGTAAATCTGGTAGAATGTTTTATTCTACCCATTTGTTTAAAAAGCACTGAAGGGTGTTTTATTTTTAAATCCTTAGAGAATAGTTTTAAAATAATTTATTTATTTATTTATATCAAATGGCTGGCGTNCAGGACTCGGCCTCAAAAGAAATACAAAATAAATATCAGAGAAAGTGAAAAATTTTAAAGAAGCTAGAACTTTAGATCACGATATCTAGCTGCCTTGGAAAAATTTATTTATATCAAATGGCAGGCGTTTCGATGGTTATCATTAGCCCTTTAGTTGACTTCGGGCTTCACAGAGGGGAAGGAACATCAAAGTGAAAGAAAGTCGAGAGGGGGTGGGGAGAGAACAGAAGAGTGTTTCAAAGACGAAGGTAGAAAGGTAGTAAAGAGGTGAGGTGAGTACCGTGGAAGTAGTCGAATATGACATACAGTGGGATCATGGCAGTTTGAAGTCAGAAGTCAACTGCCGGTTTATAGACTTTTTCGCCGTATGAGTATACGTTGCCCAGGGTGCACCACGTGGAGGTAAGTCTATCCCACACCCCCACCTCGGAAAAATAGGGCATTACACAAGACTAATCACTAGTTTGAATAAATAATTGCATAATTCGGAGTTATTTTTAATGTAGAAGAGAAGGAGGCATATAAGTTAATATAATCAAGGGAAGAATATTTAATAATTTGTATGCTTTTATTATCTCCTTGACAAAAAAACAAAGTCAAATTCACCTCAGCGTTGATGTAGAGGGGCTAGAACTTAGTTCAGGAGTTCGAGTTGCGGGAACTAAGCTTAGTGATGGAATGCTTTCGAGAGAATATCGTCGGCACAATATATCCTCTTCATATGCACTTTCGGGAAGAATTTCGAGAGAACCTGTGCGTCTTGAGATCTTCAAAAATAAAAAGACAACGGTTTAAGATCATGCGAATCCATGAATTGCTTTACATGCCCGTGCTAAATGACTGATATGTTAGACTGATAAATCAGAAATGAAAAGAAATGCATTGAAATTATCCGTTTTAAAGATATTCCATTTTTGAGTTTTTCAGAAACTTTGTTACGAAATACTCTACGAAATTTGATCTTCATTTAAACAATCTTGAGGTTATCTTACAGTATTTACATACAATATTTTATTGTTATTATTAACCATTTATTAATTATTAAAATAAATATAATCTAGTGCTAACCTTAGCGGAGTTCAATTGATGCTGGAAAATGGAAGGCATAGAAGACCATTGCTTTGACAACTGCCCTCCATTAGTTGCAAAGTCACTCAAATCGGGGAGAGACGCGGATATACTCCGTAAAGTGGCTTCTATGTAAACCTTAAAGTAATCAAATTACCATACTATTAAACTAAAAAGCATTACTCGAAATAATAAAAAGAGCATAATAATTTTCATTAGCTGATATTGATTTCTACGCTTAATGTGCATTATTTCATAATTCTTACGTTAAGTTCTCCCTCGTGTTTAATAAGACCACCTTTTTCCATCTTGTCTCGTATTGGCGAATGTGCTATTCCATGCTCTATCGTCTCGGAATTCCCAGGTCTATTAGTCGATGAATTCTCACCGCAGTGCTGTGTTATCGTTTTGCCTGTTAAAACAACAAGGAAGCCATCTTTTATAGAGATTAGAAAAAAATTAACACACACAAGAGAGAAGTTACCATTCTCTTCAAGCGCAGGGTTGACGTTTACTTCCTAAATCCAATCAATTACTCTTATCGTACCATAATTTGACCCCTTAAACTCAACTTCGCTTCCCTTTTAACTACTAGCTCTTTCCCATATACACGTGTTCGAAATCGGATCATCACCTTCTTGAACTGGGAAAGGCTGTTGTGTCCTATGAATATTTGGGACAATCACCATTTTTATTAGATGACACCTTTAAGACTAAGTTGATTGGAATATTAAAGTTGATATACTTAAGAAATCGGGGTTAGTTTCAATAAATGTAGCTGTAAGTTATCAAACTCATTCCTCTTAGGAATTTGAAGTAGTATCAAGTAATAACCAAGCAAATTAATTTGGAAACACTTATCAACACGTAAACCAATAAGGACGAATCCAATGAGACGGTATCAGAGCAGACGAAGTAGGCACTGAGATAGGATTATCGCCTCTTCTCACATTTATTATACTTTAAGGGCCTTTGTCTGAATTCCTATATCTTCTACTCCAGTAAACCATTATTCCTTCCATTCTGAAAGATGAACTCTTTTCACTCCATACTTAGACCACACTTTCTTTATTGGTTTTCATCAATTAAATAAAGGTTATGCATATAAGTACTTAAATAAATTTTACCCGTGTCGACATCAGCAGAACTCATTTTTTCAAGGAGTGAGGGGATAGGAGCCTTATTCCAGACCTTCCGATATGGAATGGATAAATCCACTGAACCTGGAAAGTTCGGTTCGGAACTATCATTTTCTACAGAAGTAATTGACCTCGGTGATTCATGATTTGAGGAGCGGGAATTAATTCGTCTCAGTATAATTTGTTTCTTCTTTTCAATCAGCCTATTGAAAAATCATTATTCAGTAATTAAATCTCTCAAATAATTAAACGCAGTCAATTATGTTTTCACCATTTTGCTTGGGCTCCGCATTAACGATAGCGCTAAGAATACCTAACTGGTGGTTTGGGAAGGCGAGATAAAGCCGCATTGTTGAATTAATCAATACGACTCGTCGAACAATTTAACGGGTGTGTACCAACAAGTATCGATCTATGACAGCGGACTTTGAGCTTATGGTGTACCGTGTTCACACTCGAGCATTTCTTACTCTCGAGTGCTTAAGTAGACGTAGTTTCTAAAAGATCCTCGCTCCTTTTAAATGATGCGCAGGTTGAATAGGTAATAGTAAACACCTTCTGCAACTCCTGTAAGCTTTTATCTATTTAAATTCATGATATGTGCAATTATTCTAACCCAATTTCAGTCGTTCTGCCTGAGCGATGGCTTGTGAATTTCATTAAATTTTGACTTATCATTTGAGCTAGAAGCTCTACCATAAGTATGCTGAGTGGAATATTATGATAAGTAATTCCAACCAACTTTCACTACCTTTGGCTTGGCTCTCGTGAAATAGATGGTGGATCATTTTTCATGATCGGATGTCCCTCGGCAATTCGAACTTTATTCGGTGGAGGAGTCTTTAAGTGTTCCAATACTGAGGAAATGGATGGTATGCTCTCAGGGGGCTTTCCGCACTTAGATCTGAAAAGAATAATAATTATGATTCCCAAAATAACCTCTTATTTGCACTTATTTTATATAAAGACGGATCCGGTACTCACTTTGCATCATAGTGTACATGGGGAAATTCCATTGGTTCAGTGCATTGAACCTGAATAAAATCAATTAAAATTCACGATTGCATGAACTAAACTGAACTCAAGTGTTAGCACATATGTCTAGCGCCTGTAGCATATGATGAAATATAACATAGAGGATAGAGTAAACAGTGACGATGAAGATAAAGTAGCACTGGAATTTCGGTATTTTTCTCAATGCCATTTAAAAAATTCGTTTTTCCCTATTTAACGCTGCCATTATCAAAGAAAATTTACAAAAAAGTAATGTAAATAACATTTTAAAAATCTTATTCCACCTTTTCCACTATTCAATTTCATTGTCAATTGATAACACCTACTCTGACGTAGTTGCAATCTTTCATTAAAAGTTGCCCAACTTACTCTGCCAGCGGGACTCTTCTTTCGCTCCACAACATCTACAAAAGAGATTTGAGTTTTATTATTGTTTTTAAATGTCATTTGCATGTCAGTGTTCACATTCTTTCAATGGTAAATTGTTAGCTCCCTGAACGGTAAGTACCAAGTCAACTTGACTGTAGAGTAATAATGAGGACTCATTTCCTTCATTAAGGAAGCGATTTTAAGGAATTATTTAGTCACAGTCGACAACAGTTTGGACAAAATTCGAATAGCTTTGGATCGAAATAATTATGTCGTGTACGCATCAAGACTTTCACTTGCAGTGAAATTCGATTAATATCTCCAATTTAATTAGAGTGGAATGAAGTTGACTTACATGGGCAAACACGACCAAGTGCGCAGGCCACGCCGTAGGATCGGTTGTCTGATTTCGCTCTGTTCCTTTCCGCAGCTAAGCGTCTTTCAATGTAATTCAGCATAAGCGGATCTCGGTCATCTACATCATTGTACTTTTTCACGTTCGGATAGACTTTTGCCACTAAATCGCAAAAAAATACAAAATATCTTTCAGTTTTATTTCGGTCATCGCTAACGAGATTTAAGTGTCACGATTATCTTTACATTACCACTTAAGCTTCACTCATAAATTTCTAATCTACAGTAAGACCAGGATAAAGGAGATGTGTTGGTATGGCCTGAGTTATGTACCGAAATTCGTAGTGAATACTTGCAACTCTTTTGATGTGTTCAATTACCTGTTCAGTATGTTTTCATTCATGATGTTCTCTATTTACTACCTTTAAATAAAAATATTACCCCTTTAAATTACCCTCCTATTTCTTTACTTTGCATTCACCCTTCTTTATGCATTTATTCCCTAACTTGAGACCATTTCCCACCGAAAATTTGAACAGAAATGTGAAAAAATTATTTTCCAACTTCAAAATGAATCATCAAAATAAAATACCTGGTTTTCCAACAACCATTAATGAGGATGAAGAATCCACTGTAGACACATCTGATCCACCTCCCACGGAAGAATTCCTGCCTTGTCTATTTTTACCTAGAAATATTAAATTGAATTAAAGTGAAAATTAGCGAAAATCAATACATATACATATATATTCCACATCCATAGAAAACGTTTACTTTCAAAAGCGAATAATAACAATAATAGTAAAGGACCAATCGCAAATTTATTCATTATTATTTTTAATTCTACCTTCCTAAAATGGAAACCAAATACCCCCCCCCCTCCCCAATGTCTCAAAATCTTGCGTACAAATTTCACTAGAGCAATCGGAAGGTATTTCTCGTTGATGAATATATGAAAAATATTATACTTCTTATTTGAAGGCATCTCAACAATGACTAAAGTAAATGTCACACGGGAGGCGTGGTTGGTGTAGACATTAAGTGTTGTCATAGCAATACTTCATATTAGTCACCCCTTGGATAAAATGTATTGTCCGCAACAGGAAGACTAAATCTATTCATTCTCTTTCAGCATTTCTCAACAAAAAGTTTCCAAATAGAAAGGGACTGGTGTGCTAGGAGATTACTCGGCTTTTTGATAATTAAATCTTAAATGGTTGAGAGGAATTTTTAACGCTGTAAACAAAAGCCATGTATCATCCAAATAATTTTTAAGTTCTCTTCCTTATCTAACTAGATCTCAATAAATTCAATATCATTCTTGAGCATAACATGAGGGTATTTTTAAACTCACTCTAGTATGAGAAAAATAAGTAACTCATTTTACCCATTTCACAAGTGCTGCTATATTTGGAAGTGTTCACTGGTTAGTTATTTCTACCACAAATGGGGTACACTACAAGTATTAGCCATTTTCTTGCCACAGTTTTACTTACACTCTGACACGGATCCTTGTTCACTTTCATGAGAGCGTCTCTTGAGTTCCTCGAGATATCGACTTAGAGTTCCCACTGAAACCACCTCTAATCGAGGTGTTTTCGGAACTAAAACTGGAATTTCTACCGACGGTCTAATCATGGGTACTGGAGAGTTGCGATAATGACGGGAGATCTAGAAATTAAAAGATCACAGATTGTAAAGCTCACTAAATTACCTTGTCTAGGGCTATAAACAGCTTGATTAAATTATTAAAAAAATAAATAGTTAAAGTTTAATGTTTATTATAAATGGCTAAATTTACCTTAGCTGATGGCGGAGTGGGCGATGCGTGAATACATGCATTTCCTTTCGGTTTTTCTAGCAGCATTTCCTGAGATTGGAAAAATAAGTATACAAACATATAATTTTTAACTTGTTATTAAATGTTTTATTGAATAAAACAAACTTATTTATTATAACAGCTATGCAAAAAACCAAAATAACGACTTTGTTTTTTTTTGGAATGATGTACAAATTGGAATTTCGGAGATTAGTAAAACAACTAAACGCACCTTGCAAATTCGAGAAATGGCTTTCTGCTTTTTTTGATGAATTGATGCAATGAGATCGCGTCTTCTAATCAATTTTTCCTTTGATATGTGCTTCAGAACCTGATTCGGAGGAAACTTTCTTGATCGTGAAGTCGACTGTCGTTTAGCGATTCTTGGACTAAAATGCAAAATGCACAAAATTCAAGGCAACACCATGAATAATTTCATATTTGATAAATAGTAATGATTATAATGGTTGTTGTTAAATGCTCATAGGAATTATTAAAGACTGGCAATAAGGCACTCTGCACTAGCATAAAAATCATGATGAAAGTCTAACCTTTGTTTATTACATTTGTTACAATGACCCTTTCCAACTATTGAAGATGGCATCCTCGGAGGTCGGCTTCCTGCTCGCTCTGCCATCACTTTCTTTTCACACTTCCTCTCCTAAAAACAACAAAAAAAATTGCCTCATATTACACTTATACCTTGTAAAGTAGCAAAAAATCGGTATGTGCACGAAAGGAAAATGACTGGACAAACAGAAAAAGCTTCCCCTGCTCAGAAGCAGTAATAAGACGGTAGTAGAACCATGAATGGAAGTTTATCTGAGTCTTTGTGAACCACTTTATTGCTACATTTGTTGAGCATTTAGGCAGATAATATGAGGTAGAGGTGCTAAAATGGGACTTGACTGCTACAGTCGCATTTATAATTATAATTAATTATAGTTATAATTAAGTAAATGAACTGTTTACTGACACTGATAAATGTCTCAATTCTCTTTCTAGTCAATGAAAAAAATCAACAGGAGAGCATTAGTATGAAGTATTGGCACCTGAAAAATCTCTAAATATACAAATGCAATAGTGCAGCTATTTCTGATATTCGGATTCATTTGTGAGGAGATTTATAGACAGGCTGTGCTCAGACAACAAATACAGCTGCGGTGGGTTCGCACATAGAGGTGTGTGCGCGCAAGCTACTCACTGCTGTGGTAAGGAAGGCATGTATACGATTTTTCATAATGGGATACTTGAGGACCGCTGTAATACTCGGACGAAAACTGAAGAAAGATCATCAGATTATAGGATACGTAGTAAAGAGCTAGATGCGAGTTAAAAACTAGAGTAACTTGCCGTGGGTTTCGCTGAAAGAGTTTTGAAATAAGATTTCGGAGGTCAATGCTATATTTTGGAGATATCGGTGGATAGCGTCCGCTTATAATTTTGAGGACGAGGCTTTTGATGTTACCAGCATCAAACTAGTGGCGAAGAAGTGGATTGAAATCAAACACAATAAATCATATAATATTGTCATATATTGATTATTTGATGAACTAAAAAACTTTTCTATTTTTGCTTACCGGATGTTTAAGAGTTGTAAGTTCATATAAAACACAGCCGAGGGCCCAGATATCGCTTTTATTATTGTAAGGCTTATTCTCACAGATTTCAGGTGAGAGGTAATACGGAGTTCCAATGCAAGTTCGTGCCAAATCGAAGGTATTTTTAAGAATTTTGGCTATACCGAAATCGCCTAATTTTATTCTTCCCTTGCTTGTTAGAAAGATATTCTGTTTACAAATTTAGATTCAAAATATTTTAAATGCGTACTTGAGATTTAATATCCCGGTGTAAGATCATGTGGTCATGAATATGTTTCACAGCTAATGATATTTGCACAAACCAATCGAGGATCTACCATGGTATTATTAAGGCTATATTATGATCTACTTCATCTTCTGCAAATAGAACTCCTTTTTGTGAATTAATCTTTGTGTATAAATCGCCACCGTCACAGTATTCCATAATAATATAAATTGCATCAGATTCTGAACAGAAGCCTATAAATTTTGTAATTCTCACCTTCAAATGAGTGACAATACTTCACAATATTTGGGTGATTTAATTTGGCAAGAACAGATATCTAAGAAATAATGTTAAAAAATAGAGACATACTTCCTTTCTTGATTCGTCGATTTCTCTGGGTTTCATCTAAAATGCAACGAAGAAACATTCCCAAATACATCTGGAATATATCACTCAAAAAATTTATAAAGATAGTCTAAATGTTACCGTATGGAGCAATAAATGAAGATTCGAGTGAAATTGGAAACAATATTTCGGTAAACATTAAAATTAAACAGAGAATCTATTTTAAATGCACATCACCGCAATAATAATTCAGTAAAATTTGCGAAATACTTATAAAATATTAGATAAATACATTTTATTCAGCTTTAATTAAGAAACCATGTTTATATTTGCATAAAATCAAACTATTTCTTTAGGCCTTAAATCCATTAACTTCGTCATTACCCTTGATATTCCTATTTCCTTTATAACTTTCAATGATTTTGTCATTTTACTACTCGCCAACCAGGCGACACCAAATGCTCCTTGACCAATCAGTCTGATCTTTTCATATTGCTCCATTATAAAGCAGAGACAAGTCAAAAGACGAAAATATCATGTAAATAACAGCAGATGATTCAAGGTCATTTTGGAACATTTAAAAAGCATATGCGTCTTAATATTTATCCATTTATTGCAGTTTTAAATATTATTACATCATTCGTTATTAGATTAATGATTTATGTTGAATTTTCTAAGAGTTTGAATTTATTATTTGTCATGCCTTTTTATCACATTAGTTAAAATTTATTTTGTAATTGAAAAAACTAACATTTAGTAGATCGGAATAGTATAGCTGTTAAACTTACAAGACCGGATTTTTACATCAGAATAATTTAGTCTTGAAATTATTAGCATCGACTGCCACTCAAGCAAACGGCAATCATTTAATGTTTTCAATTTCTTTCCACATTTCTTATTGCCAACAATCGTCAACTGTTTTATGGTATTTGAAAGTGAATTTGGCTCTAAATGTATAAAGACAATTAGTATGAAAGTAATAGATCCATTGTGTTTGACTCGATAAATGAAATTTGATACTCATGAGCACTCCAAATTCCAGTCTCTTATATATAAAGAGGG